ATAATTCTATGTATGCCGAATACGTTAAAACACAGTATTAAACAAAAAACACAGTTAAACTAAACTAATCTTTCCGTTAAACACACTCTGCTATAATAATATTTAGAAAAGAATATAAATATTTACTTTTTTCAATCAGGTGATTCAATTAGAAATTCTATTATTCTAGCTAGAAATTTTATAGACGACTATTGGTTTGAGTGAGACCATAATGGAGTGAGTGAGCCCAAGTTTTATAGAATGGCTAATAGCGTCAGATCCGCGCGCACAGACTAATGACACTGTCTGTACTAAGCTTTTGGTATATTTGGTCTTTCTAGAAAAAAATAAAAAAAACTAAAAACATTGAAAAAAGCCAATAAAATCTTTTAAGTTTGTATAACTCCAAAAAACTTACCTGAGACCCGAAAAATCGTTATGTTTTTATAGAGGTGAGCTTCTTTTGTGTATAAAACATTGGAATATGATAATATTTTAATTTTTGAAATTTTTATGATAGAAATCATAAACGTGATGGTCAGGGACAAGCGGTACGGTCGTGAATTGTCTGAAATAATCTAAATCTTTCTAAACAATCCTTCAATTATACTGTTAGTTATAATAAAAATATGTGTTTCAGTTGAACTAAACTGTTCAATTTACAATGATATTTAAGTTATTGTCACGACCAAACACAGTATAATCCATAAGGCTGGATTGGTCGTGAAAAAAACCTGCGATGGTTGTGAAACTTTGGTTGTGACATTACGTGTTATTTGGCTCTGTTCTGGTGGTAGCCCTGCACCTCATGTTCGAGGATACAAAGTGGACTTCTAGGTTAATGTAGCAATTGAAATATCATATCAACAAAAATTAACAAAAAACACAAACTTACCTTTATTAATCAATCTTGTAACTACTTCTTTCAACACAAAACGACCGGCACAACAAACTTGACGTACACCCCGAACTAGTCTCTAAAACGAACTGACGTAATCGACGCCAGGTTTGCCACTGTCGTGCTCCAAAGTTGAAAATGTTTCCCAAATGGTCGTGACGCCAAATCGAGGGACAGACTTATTTTGTCACGGTAGTCAGTTTGCAATGACAATAAAATTATAATATGCTCCTTTTTTGTAAGTTTAATAACTATTGATGACATAAAAATATGGCTTTATATATTTCGGCATGAATAATTAGTCTAAAAACAGCGTGAAAGTTGGAAAATGTACCCTAGGGACACGTCATGGTCGTGAATTTCGAGACTTTAAAAATACGAAAAAAATACTTAGAACCTATTTAAAACCAAATAAATTTGTGTAACATGTTGCCCCCGTCCCAAAAAATATTAAAACACATAATAATAAACTACAAATCTAGTATCTACGAAGAAAAAGGCCAGGGACATGAAAACGTACGTTTTTAAATTTTCACTCTTCCACCACTTGATGGATTTTCTTGTGAAGGAGGAAGATGAGATATTCTGGTCAGCAATGTCAGCACCTTCCCATTGATCAATCGTATTTATATCTGGTTTTAATTGGGGGCTTCTGTCCTTACAAAACCACTAGTTTATGTTTAAGGCTGTAAAAATACGTAACATAGCCACTATCAATTCAGGTGGAGAGAAGAATAACATAATTCACTATATTAGTCTGGGAAATCACAAAATATGTCATAAAGTGCCTGATCGATCAGTTTATATCGTCAATGCTGGTTTAGGAAAAGAGGACTTTTTGGCCTAGTTACCGGAAGTGCTGTCTTCAGCAGAGATGATTGATGGGTGGAATCATGCACTATGTTTTATCCATGGTCCGGAAGTTACATAAAAAGGGGTATTCAAAGTTAGATATGGATAAGCCTGTCCTGTCACATATTCAGGCCGCTGTCAATTTTGATGGTGAGGTAGTTATGTTGGTTGTTAAATTAAGATAAAAGTAAGGTCAAGGTCATTTGGATGGTTTTTAACTATTTGAGCTATTATCACCATCCACTCGTGCTCAGTGCTTGGTAGTGTAATTTTCACCAGTGATAGAGAGGAAACAGATGAATAGGCCATCTGTTCCTCTGTTTATAGCTGGACAATCTCAACATTTACATTCTAGCTCCAGCCCACTCAATTATCACACAACTGATCCAAAAGGTCTTTATTAAAAGAAAGAAATAAATCAGAAATACACCCGCGGGTGTATAAAAAGCCCCGCACATAAGCAGCAAAACCTACAGACTAAGCGAATTATTTTTGTGTGGTTTGATTTTCACTTAAATATCATTAGGTTTAATGAATACCTGGTTTTGCAATAACACCTGGGTTTTGTTTGTTGTACAGGGAGGGCAACAAAGTGTGTTAGCCAAATTCCCTATAGGGAAGAAGCTATTAGGTACCGTAGGTGGCACGGGAAGACCTAGGCCGTACTTTTTCATTTTTATGTCTCCAGAGGCCAAACACACTATTCGTTAAAATTGTTTTTTAATTATATATTAGGAAATTTCCCATATAGGGAATAAGCTATATATATATATATACCGGGTGTCCCATAATAGCCACTTACCCGTTAACTTTTCAACAGCAGCATAAACAAGCTTCGATACATGTAAAGTACTTTTTGGTGGTATTTTGAAATTCACCCCTCACCTCCAAATAGGGATTGCTGGGGGCAGCTTAAAAATGTTAAAATAGCAACCCCAATCAAGTAGCACATCATTTTAAAGAACTTTAAAAAAGGAAATAAATGCCACAAATCTGATATTGATACAACAAAGTTTTCAAAAGAGCTATGACAAGAAATGTTATGACTAATTTGACTGGACCTTTACATTTCATCACTTTTTTCATGGCTATAGGGGGATAGGGCTACATTTTCAAATTACCTTCAGTCTTTAGTACACAGTACACGTGACCAGGGTGATGTCACGCACTGTTTAACATGATTTTGGATGTTATCACCCACCCTCAAATAGACTGGCTGGTGGGGTTTTGATTTTTTAAGCGTTAGTGTTGATGGAATAACTCTCTGCTGAATTAAGAATAAGAAATTTAATACCATTGACCAAGTGGTGTCATATGTTGGTATTAAACGTCACCAAGTTGGATAGTATGATATAGATCTGCATTACAAGAAGAGTAAAAAAATGTCACGGGTCAGCTATCGATTTTGGAAACTCAGAAAATCTGTGTCAGATGAATATCTCAGAATGACCTACTTTGGTTTATTTAAAAAAGGCTAATAGTAGAATGATATGCTACTTATTTTATAATCTAAGTATTTTGACGATTGTAATGCATGTTATATTATGTTAAAAGCAATAAAGACATTTCATTTCATTTAATTTCAATCTCATAGTCATATATCCAATGGGGGGAGCGAGCTGGTGTAGTGGTTGGAGCACGGGACTTCGGTCTCTGGTGTCCCGGGTTCAAATCCCGCCAAATCACCAATGGATTTTATCTGAGTGATAATGCCACAACCCCTAGGTCTAGCCTGAAGTAATGTGAAAAAGAATCCCGGGATCGTGCCTAGCGTCTTCGGAAAAAATGGGCTGGTTCTTTGGGGACCTTTATTTATACAAATGAAAATTTTAACAGTATAATTAACTTATACATATTACATATTCTTATTTACACTAAAACTAATCTTCACCTTTTTCCCACCAGGCAAGACATACACGAAACACGCAACAGGACAAAATTAAATATTCCCACAGCACAGATTGACAAAATTCGGCAATCACACAAGGCAAATAATTGCATTAAATCTTTAAACAAGCTGCATGAATCGGCAAGGACCTGCACACCAAAAATCGTCAAAAAAGTAACTGCTTAACTTTTAGACAATCCCTTCTTATAGATATGAATATCTTAATACATGTGTAGACATTAGGTTTTAGCTATATAGATACATGACAATCTATTTTTGATAATTGTATTAATCATATCAAAATGCACATTTCATGTACGTGGTCAACGGTAAATAAATCATTTCATTTAATTTCCTAGTTTTGATAAAAGCTTTCTGAGTGCTAAACAAAGCCTGCTCAAATCAAATCAGATTTAAAGAGTTAAAAAAAGTAGTTAGAAAAAGATTCATAGTTTTTTCTTCTCTTTACCAGTGTTGCCACTTTTAGGGTAATTACCCTTTTTTAGGGTAATTTGCTGGTCTTAGGGTAAAGTTTAGGGTAATGGTAAATTTAGGGTAATTTTAGGGTAAAACTAAAAGTTAGCATAACAATGGAAATTTTACTAAAAAAATGAGAAAACTTCAAAATTTGGCAAAAAAACGTTCATTAAATACTATGGCCAAACCATCATATTCGATTCAAATCGGTTTAAATCGATTGCTATCATGAATTTTTTATAATAAGTTAGGGCCTATCCTAATCGATCTTATCAATCGTTGGGAATTATCTGTTTTAGAATGTATTCGATTCTATAACACGTTATAGGCCTAATAATATATGAAATATTATTCATTACTGGGTTTGATATTTAATTATGTGGCTGAATTGAATTAAACTGGATTATTTTACAAATTGTGTCAAGAAATTACTACTACTATGTATAGATTAAAGCTTTGGTGGTACCGTACTGTATTTTAAAGATATGATTGTCCAAAACCAGTAGTAATGGGTCGATACAGTAAAAAAATGCGATAGTTCTTGATTCGATATTTTTCGCTATACGATAGTCGATAGAGCTGATCAATATCAACATTTTGTTCTTCTTTCGGGTGGTTTTTTTATAGAATCGAGTATAATTTTACGTAAATTGATTGATATTGGAACTTCATTTAGTATAATTAACCACCTTATGTAGGATTTATATGATTTTAACAATGTTTTATAGCATTAAACGCAAATATTAACATTTAGGGTAATTTTTAGGGTAACTCAAAGTAGATTTAGGGTAATTTAGGGTAATTTTAGCCCGCCTTTAGGGTAAAATCGCAGCAACGCGGTGGCAACACTGCTCTTTACTTTGAAATTAAAATGCTTTTCAGTTCTCGTTCTCAGGTTGTCATTGTCAGTTCCTTTCAGAGCTGTTGTTGACGTTGTTGTCGTTGTCAGTTGTCTTGTCATTCGTCGGTCTTCCGGCAATCAATGCCTTCGCGTTGTCGCCGGTTTCTTGCCAATAAATTCTCTTTTGTTTAAGTTACTGTTAAATGTCTTATGTTATAGACTAGTTTTATGATTAAATTTTGAATTGAATAGACAACTACAAGTCTGAGTCTCAGGCCTGCGAGTGCTTCTTTTGTCAGTGAACGTTAAGCTTACAAGTTTCAGTTATGTAAGTAAAGTGATAAAACCACAACATTTTTTGTATAATATTGTTTAGGTAGGACTAGTATTTAATCAGTTTAAAATATTTTATCGCTTACCCTTAGCTATGCAATCATAGTCCTGGCTCAACCCTTTTTCGGTTCTTTGTTTGGTTCAAACACATTACCTAACCTAAAAATTTTCATCTTAAAGCAAGTAGGTGAGGTAGGCCTATTCTCTTTTAGGTCAGGTTAATTAATTGGAAAGGCAGTAAAAGGTAGGGATGAGCATCATAATTCATTGAGAAAGAGCTGCCAGATTAGTTAGGCTAGGTGAATAAGTTATTTTAACTCAAATTTGAAGGATGAACGTGGAATGGAGTGTGGTGATCTGAATTAGCTTTGTTACTGACTAAGATCAGCAGTTTAATTAGCCAGGATCATTTATTTAAAGCTTATGATCAGGTACAGCTGGGTCTAGATTCGAGCCATCTCAAAGCTACTGACTTTTCTCAGGATTGATCCGGTAACCTTTTGATTGTAAGGCGAGCACTAAGATACACCACTCAGGTACTAACCACTCAGGTACCTACCATCAATAGGTCAACCAGCATCTTGGCCAATCATTAAAACTATTTTCACTTCCTTGTGGCAGCAAACCTAACTATCATAATAGCTTATTGAAAAAAGTGTGTAAAAAGATGTCTAGGACTACGTAAGTTTGGGTTATGCATGTTGAGCTTTGACTTAGGCCTAGTGGCTGCACTTTACTTTAGGTCCTACACTCATTCGAATGAAAATATCGATCGATATATCGATTATTCGATATATCGTTTGGTTAGTTAGGTAAGGTTAACCTAACCTAACTAACCAAACGATATATTGATTGAAACAATCGAATAATCGATATTTTCATTCGGTTGTTTGTGTAGGACCGAAAGTAAAGTGCAGCCGGCCTAGTTTTCACCATGTAAGTTTAACTTAAATAGGCCTACCGACTTTTTTAGTCCTACAAAAACAATATAAGTTAAGCAAAAATAATATAAGTACCGGTACAGTAGGTAATATGCTATCAATAAAGAGATGTTTAAGTTACCTAACCTAACTTGCTGTTACATTTCAAAATTCCGTTTGATATTCCCCACATGCCTTTTCTGTTAGGCTACCAAAGGGGATTTTGAAATTTATGGCCAATGCTTGGGGAGGGTTAAACGTGTGATTTGATATTGGAAAAATTGTTGTCGTTTTTCTGATTTTCCGTGTTTATTTGACTTTTTCTGGGAAAACAACAGTCATTTTGAATTCATTGCGTTAAATTTATCATCATAATAGGTTAAAAAAATAATTCTCTTTTAACGCGGCGTCTGTGATTGATAGTTTACCAAGTTGCTTAACCTGAAGGTTTGCTGCGGCAGAGGTATTTGGTGCTTCCATTCTAATTATACTTTTTTATGTAGCTAAAAAAAATGGCGGAGGACCCAATGGACGTGTCTGCACCAACTACCACTGAAATTGAATCCGCACCAGCTGTTGAAAATTCACAACCTCAGCCAGCAGAAACTGGAGAACAGGGAGCTAGTGAGACCAAGGACACACCTACAAAAACTGATGAATCTGGAAAGAAAGTATACACAGAAGAAGAACGAATGAGACGAAAAGCATATTTCAAGTCTGTGCGGGATAGGAAAAAGTTGAATAGTGAGAGGTATAGGCAAAGGCAAAACCAAGCTAGAACGTCCCAAATAACCCCCAAGAGAAGAAACTTGCCTTCAAGGTCCATTCCGGATGTCAAAATTTCTTTCCAAATGACAAAAGAAGAAGACAAAGTTTTAGAGTTTTACAAAGTGAAGCTTTCAGCCCTAAAATCTACAAATGAACAGTTGCACAAAAGGCTGAACTTTCTCGTTAAAGAAAATATGCGTCTTTTGCAGGTATTTATTTCAACAGTTATTTAACAGATTAATAATCCCCCTGTTTGTTTAGAGTTAGTGACTTGGTTTATAGAGAATGTTTGAGAAGTATTCACTTTGTAGGCCTACTAATTTTTGGTTTTGTCTCTTTCAGTAACCTTTTAGATTTTTCGCTGTACTGGAACGTATTGCTTGGCAAACCTCTAGTTAGTATCAAATCAAATCGTCTTTATTTCATATTGTACATAAATCAGTACATGGAATGGCGTCAAATATTTAGTATGTATTTAGGGCTACATTAAAAATTGTGTCGGGGGTTAAGAAAAAAATTAGAGTTGTTTTGTTTTCTGTTTATAAGTTCAATTAACTATATCATACATCAGAGAAAATGATTATCTTACTATATGAAAAATAAAATAAAATACCAAACAACCATTTGGGTTATCATCAATTGATTTAGAAACTTTTACTAAGCTTGTAAACTCAATTAGGCCTTCCACCATCTCCACCTTTGCCAACAAAACCAAGATAACCGAAAACGCCAAATAAATAAAGATCAATAAAGTCCTTCTTCTCCTACGTTGAGATTGTGCGCCAGGTTCGCTAGTAATAATTTAAGTCAAATACTTAAATAAATCAAATACTTACACTGTCAAACCATTTTTTAATTAGCCTAATGTTTTGTTTTCCAGATGGGGCCTCCATTGAAGACAGTATGATAGTCGTCCAGGTAATTCCTTACTATAATTTTTGTCTGTACCATGGTGATATTTGTGTGTTTTATTTTAAATTCCTCTTTTATAGATATAGATGTTTGAATTCATTCTGTATTTAATAATGGATTATAAGCGAATAAAAGTAAGCAAAACGTGTTTTTAAATTATTTACCAACCCATTGAACTTAGCTATTCTTTTTTCTTTTTAAATAGTATCATCTCTCATAGACTGTACTAGGATATTCAAAAAGAATTTTGACAGAAACTAAATAAGATGTTACCTTAGAAAGAACAATGAAACAGATAGCCTATATTCAAGGAAGACAGGATCATTAAATAAATTTGTTGTCATACTGCAGCAATAACAGCCGTTTAAAATGCATGTGTCTAAAGTAGCATTTCTACTGTTAAAAGCGCTTTTGGCCCATAGGGAGTAAAAATCAGCATTTATCGAAAGTATGTATCGATTTTTTAGTTGGTTTTAGCTTATTGTTGCCTTGTTGTAAATAGTTCGACATATCTATAGTATAATGTACACTAATACAATCCTAATAGACGATTGAATCACTTACTAAAAACATGCTTGTTTCCAATGTTTCCATAAGCAAATTAAATTAAAAACAAGTTAGAAGTCGTTTTGAGAGGTTATCTTTAAATGAAAACTATTTTGGTTTTGTAATGTAGTTTGTTCAAATAATAGTGCAATATAACAAAAAATATAGTTCATCACACGGACAAAAAATGTGTCTTTTCAACCCTCGCTAATTTTTTACAACCTCGCCTTGATCGTAAAACTTGAGCTGGGGTCGAAAACAGTCACTTTATGCCCAAGTGATAAAATATACAATTTTTACTACTATTTACTGGCTATTTAAGACAAATCTGGAGTATTTTTTAACTCTTGCCGGCACCTCTGATGGCACAAACATCTGGCTAGACAACATTTTCAGCTAATAACAACGTTAACATTTTTATGTGAATAATTAACAAATTTTACGCTTTATTGTTATAATTTATATAGCACAATTTAGGAACTTTTTCTTGCTGGTTGATAATGTATTTTGTAGATTATGTTTTTTACTCATTTGGGTTAATAAAGTACAAGGTTGTGTTCTCTTTTATGTTTATTAAAAAAAATTAAATAAATTATAGTCAGTCTGTTAGTTTGTTCTTCGTTAGTTAAATTTTAAAGCACAGTAACACCTTGATGATTTTACATTATTCAACTGATTGAGTATTTTTCAAGGATTTAATTTTGAAACAATAAAATAACTCAGACTTTTGTATAATGCGATATGGTGAACAAATTCTGAAGTTTTGCTGTAAAAGCAGTTACATACAGAAAATTTAATGGAGAAGATAAAAACTAGACAGGAAATAGGACTTACTAGTTTTTACTTAAGGAATCGGAACACATTTCAACCTTATAGCTCCGTATTTATAAATTCTTTGACATATTATTGCAATGAAATTATTCACAATAGATAGATTTATGTCTAGCCGTACACTAAAGTTTACTTGAAAAGTGAGGTTTATAACAAAACTATACCTGCACGTACAAGTTTTTGTGCTATTACTGCAATGGATATCTATATTAAACTGAAGCGTTGACTATCAATACAGCTTCAGTATCCAATAGTCAATGACGGAAGTCTCTAGATTTTAAGAGAATGTAAGTCAAACCAACAAGTTTTACCCGGGCATAGTGGTTAATCAGAGCGGCGTTTGATCAAGGACCAGTTAAGAGAGGGTCTACAGTAAAAGTTGTGCAAAAAGCTCAAATCATTAAGCTTTAATTCACAGTATTTCTTTTTAATTAGATCTTCCATTTCTTGAAGTAGAGTGGTTGAAGGTTTTTAATGCATTGATAAATTTGATACATTAAAATTTGATTCATCAAGGTTTCGCAGTATTTACGATAGACTGTGTGTGATGTTCAGCTGTCTAATTAGGTAATAATCTAGAAATATCCTTTGTACTGGATTATTTGACGAAAGTGATCTGCTATCATTTGGGAATTCGGTAAACTCCAGTTTTGGTAGTCTTTTGTGGTAAGATGCACTAGTCCAGTTGCCTAGGGCAAAAGGTTTCTCTGAGGCAGTGTAGGCGATGATCAGACCAGTACTTCTGCAACAGATATTGGAATGTCGATGAAAAGCGTTTTGGTATTGTGAAGATTCAAACATTAAATGGCACTAACAAAATAACTAGTGATCCGATTAAAGAGTTTTATTTATTTCTTAAACATTGATGCTTTCTTGTTCCTGGAGCATCTTCAAAATTGTAATATTATTCATTGTAGAGATTACTGATCAAGTAAATGAGTCCAGTTATTTATTGAACTCGTTAAATATCTGTTACTGTACTTACCCAGCAGAACAGTGTTCCCCCATCAGAACCATAGTGGTTTTGGGTTTGCATTTACCACGGATATAATCCAAATATCCTTTGCATTTCCAACCGAGAAAACCAACTTTGCTGTTGATGGACTCGGAAAAGTATATTGTAGCTCGACGGTGATTACAGTTGAGAAAATCTAGACAACATAATATATCACATTGGATAAAAATCTTCATTTGAGTGAAATAAATATTACAGATTGGGTGCTTGTTGTGGTTGTACTGGCCACAGGCCTCTGCATATTCTGCTGTGAGGTGTGGCATCTTTAAGGGTCTCTTACACTGATTATTTAACACTAAATTAAGTATAGAAAATATATACATTTTATGGTCTATTTGGTTTATACAGCACGATACGAGTTACCGCGGATGCCAGAACGTGCTACAACAGTTTGATATAAATTATTTATTAATTTTGTCTGACTTTCCATAATATATTGTGATTATTTTCAACCCTCATATATATTCATATATATATATATATATTCATATAAACACCTCCTATGAATATATCTGTACTGAAATTTAATGTCTATCACTATTCAATTACCTATCTTCATTAGTTTTTGTCAACTGCTTTAAATGGATTGTTATTTTGTCACAAATCAAACAGCTGTTCTACTCCAAACACAGGCCTATATCACTTATCAGTTTTTGTCTAAAGTTAATGCTAATCCTTATTTGCAAAGAATAAATTAATTAAAATTTCTAAACTGTAGGCCTACCTTGTTTATCATCAAAACACCCGGGTTGAGTGATTCCTCCATTCATATAGAAATCAATGTGGCCACAAGTTTGAATGTCTCCCTGCAAGCCGCCGTTTGTGTGAATCACGTCGACAAATTTGGCATCACTAGGATCAAGTCTACGAGTCTTACTCATCAGCGTAAATCCAGGGCCTGCAGGGTCTAAGCCTGTAGAATGTTTAAAACAAGTTTAGTTAATCTATATATTTATGGATACTGTATTACTATTTTTAGTTATTAACCAATGACAAATTCTAATGCCGCCAATGTTGTCCACGTTGATTGTTTAAACACATAACCAATTACAATTCAACTCCAATATACTCCAAAAATATGCAATTCCCCTTAAAATAAAATCTTCTGGATAGGACTAGACATCCCGCTTCCACGATAAGGTTTTGTGTTTCTACAAAATTAGCATTTTTTTATGTTTTTCTAAGGGAACAGTCCAAACCGTATCCATAACTTTGGTAATTTTGTGTTAAATAAAACAAAACATTATTGCCCTCCATTTATATTCCGAAATAATTCATTTTAACATATTTATTTGCTTCACAAAGAACAATAATTAACAATAGTAATGCAAACTGAAATAGTAAAACTAACCTGTTATTCTCGGAAGTTTATTTTTCCCCAGAGTGTTGGCCAAATAGTTAGCGACTTGTGCTCCTAGACTAAAGCCTATGATGTGTATATCGTTGGATTTGTGTCGGCGCAACCCTGTCACTACCGGAGCCAAACACTTTCCTACGTGTTCTATGTTGACAATAGCTGTAAGGTAGCACCATGACTTCTCCACCAGTTTGGGGTAGTTGACCATCCATATGTTTGCATCATTCTGCTTCAGATATTCTAAAAAAATAATAATCATTTACCCTCTCTAGTTGATAATTGACACTACAGAGAAGGAAGGTTCAGATGGTACTGGTACACTTGAGAGCGGACGGTTGTCCCATAAGCGAGATTCCTCAGTACCTTACTTCTTAGTGGTGACACTTTCGAGACCAAAAAGTGTCCATTTGACAAAAAGTTTCAAACTACTGTAAATGTGCCAAGAGAGCGCTTCAATGTTGGTTTATAAACTTTAATATTTAACTAGAACTAATTTAGTTCTGGTGTTCTATAATTTTGACTAGACGTGAAAAATGCTTGTAAATTACAAAAACCCTACCTGCCTTAATATTTTGCAGAACGTCTAAATTCATATCAGTATTAAAACCATGGATGATTATTTTGTTTGAGTTCTTTGGATTGAAGTTGGAAGATGTTAGGTTGTCTGATGACTCGAAGAATTCAATGTATTGTCCATTTTCAGGATTTTCTCTGTAATAGAATAGGTACATAGAGTAACACAATATATTTTCTTAATTGTTCACAAACCAACGTTAGAGGGAAATCTTGAAAAGACTGTGAAAGACTCATGAAATCAGTATGGATACAAACAAATATATTCCTAGGCCCAAGTCCAATAAACAATATAAAAAGTTGCACTTTAATGTTTTCACATTAGTTTGTCATTTTAAAAATAGTCGTTAAAAGCATTATTGTTGTTTTACATTTAGCCTGCTCATACATTTTTGGTTTCAAGTTTAAACTCTACTTTGCTTGGCATATTTTTATTTGGAATGTTTTGTGTGTTTTAACGCCATTTGCATTTTTTATGTTTTTTATTGGGTCTGATGATGATGGGAGTGTCGAAACAAAATCGATCACCACTTACCATCTTTTATATGTATTTAGCCTCTTGTGAGTCAACAGTATAAGTGTAAACATATTGTTACAAGTGGTATTAGACTTTTTTTGTATTTTCAGGTAATTTATTAACATGTTGGTTTTTTTTAAGGAGTCAGTTTTTACTGCCATAAAAGCTGTATCCTCATAGAGGCTATTTGGAAATTAATTTTTATCATTTAATCGGTAACAGTTTGCGAAATTACTTAGGGTTAATAGCAGTTAATATAGATTGTTCTGAGTGAGCTTCTTGATATAAGGCTTTACATGACTTGAATTATGATAAATATAAAACTTATGTAAGACATCAGATCGATAAAGGTACAAAGTATATAATATTTATCTACAGACTGACTTAATGTGACATGATGTACCTGGTATACAAATATAACTGTATATAGTCTGGGTCAGGGCATGGCTCTGGCTCTGTCACCACCAAACATGGTCCTACGTGATGTTTTTTGGTGTACACAAGATCTAAAACACAACACCTCTGAATCACTCTCATACTAAATATAAGGTAATGCCTGGAATACGGTGTCAGGTGGTCCTAGTTTTAGCTTGACGAACAATATTTTTTTTTTTACTAAAGGTTCAATTTCAATTTTTGTGGGATTGGTTTTTAACTATTCACAAACACTTGTAAAAAAACGAATAACCATCCATCTAAAACTAAAATCATCCGACACTACTCCAGACATGTTCACCCTTTGGTCCGAACATTGCACTTGATTATATCGATACAAAAAATTGAATAATTAAAAGTTAATACAACTTGACCACTCCCTTCCTCTACACAGCAGTTTTTCAAATGTTTGATAGGCAATTTTTTTAAACTTCTAAAACAATCAAATAAATGGTAAATATATAATTTAATTTATGGTACATTGATGGTAAATATTATGAAGTCAGTTGGATTATTTTCAATATGTAAAGAATTTCCAGCTGCGAGGAGGAACAGGGTTCACTCAAGCCACTGGCAATTTTTGTGGGAGATTTTATTTCTCATATTTTCTATGATATTTTATCAAGTTCTTCTACAAGTAACCCAAATTTTTAAATTAAATTCATAAACTCTATTAATTCTTGCAATACAATTTTTGTTATTCATTATTAATATTTCTTCATTGCAACAACACGATGTCTCCATGAGACCAAGAAGACGCCCCTTAATTTCACCGTGATCACAAAATGTTTTTTTTTTATCACGAAATGTGATTTTGGTATTTTTATGACCTTTAATTTTATGTAGCATGTTTTATTGTTGTATTATTGGCTTTTGCATTAAGTTACCATGACAAGATCGATTGAATGTATTTTGCTTGAATATCAATAAATGTCTTATGTCTTTATGTCTTACAGAGTTAAATAGATTTATCCAATTTAACAAATTTGACTAGTAACTAAGCAAATTTAAAGCATTACTTACCCAAAAGTAAAGCCAAAATTAAAATTTGTAAGCTGAAGTTGGTCTTCATTTGTTTTGAATTCAGATTTGTTTAATCCAAGACAGTTAGTTGCATGTTGGTTGCATCCAGTAAAACTGATTCTGTTATTTATTTTACAAGAATCGGTTGTGAATCATCTAAAACCAATCTGACTGTAGTAATTTTATAAGAATGTCTTCTGTTATATTCATAATATAACTATGTTTCATGAACCAACTCTTCAGTTGATTCTTGTATTAATGACATATCTATTTTTTTCTTTGTTTTGCTATACCGGTATTTAAAGGTGGAAATTTCTATAATAGTATCTATACAACAACTTATTTGTACTACCTCCAAAAGTAACTTTAAATTTATATCTTAAATCTGTAATTAAAAAAAATAATCCTCAAAGAATGGAAGATTGAAGATAACCGTTATATTTATGATTTATTTTAAAATTTTAAAACCTGTATCAAAATTGAGTTGGAATACATATTTTTCAATTATTGGTATCCTTTTAATAAAAAGATATTTTTTCAACTCGTAGGCCTATGTAAACAATGTAGCTTAGTTTTGTGTCCTAAATATTTTTTACTTCAAAATAGAAAACATATTCATTCAACATGTTATTGGTTGTGCACATAATTGTGCACTGGTTTCTCAACTAAAATTTAGATTTAGATGAATAGATTCATTTACCTATTCTTCTCTAAACAATTAAATTTCTCTAAATCTTCTTCTTTCTAAATTTCTCTAAACATCGTTAATTTAACACATATTATTGATTTCTCCACCGAAATTTAGATAAATAGGTTCATAGACTAGAATAATATCTCTAAGAAATTAGGCCTACTTACCGTAATAATAAATAACATACTCAAGATGAATATACTCACAACAATATGGCTGTACTGGATGTCATGTTCAAGGCATTGGTTGTATAACAAACCAATCACAGACTAGTTTCTGACCAACTGGCCAACTGGGTCAGTGAAGGCTACTAACATTCCACTGTAAGATCAGCTGTTGTAACAATCACCTTGCAGCTTATCCAATCAGCTGTTAATCCTGCTGGTGCCTTATTGGTTATAACCTTGCTGGTGCCATAGTGATTATAGTGGTCTAAATTGTTTCTACTCTTGGTAAGGCTTATTAATCTTAATATTCATAGATGACTTGGAGGAATATTATTTAGTTTTCATTTTTATTTTGATCTGACTTTTTTGTTTTTTTTTTAATTGAAAGTAATATCTCAAATTTAAGGTCATTGGTCTTTATTAAAAAGTGTTTGAAAACATACAAAGATTTTATCACAAAAACGGTACTGTAATTAGGTATATCAAATTTGAAAACAAATCACTGTAGTTCTAAGTTTAATATTTTCATTCGTACAAGGTACAAAACAACCATTTACTTTGATGTAATTGTGTATGTTTATTCATCTTCATATAATCAAATATGTTATGCATGATATTTTTATTTGAAAATAAATTTTGAATAGCTAAAATTACTACTTACTTTCCGTATTCCGGAAATCAGACTTCGCTTTTCCAAAAATTAGCTACCGATATGGCTTTGTTATTCGCATGTAAAAGATCATCTAATGTGCAAGACTGGTCTAGGCGTGGGCAGATCAGCAGATGGCCAAGATCCTGAACAGCACCACACACGCACAAGATGTTTTCTTCGTCTGGTAAGAGACCCCATTTCTGCATGTTTGTCTTGCATTTTGGTACCTCAACCCTAATTTGATTTAGGGTCTTCCACACCGTGTAATGAAGGCCTTCACCAGGAGCCAGTTCCTCCCTGACTGGTATGGGAGGGTTAGTCAACGTGGCCTCCCACCTTGCCACCCGATTGCTTGAGAGTGATCCATCCAGGACTCGTGTCTGTTATAAAAAGCTCTTTCTGGACCGAAGCCGTCGCTCTGCAGGTTGGTGGCCGTGTAATGGGTGACGAGGGTCTGTCTCTTGCTTAGTCCTTTCTGTGTTGGTAGTGACATCACGTCGGATTGATGGAGGGGCGATCCCTATGATAGGATGGAGTTTGTATACTGGGGTTGGTTTCAAAATCCCAGTTACAATCCGAGCCATGTCATTGACTGCAATATCAACCTTTTTTACATGTGACGATGCATTCCATACTGGTGCAGCGTACTCCGCAGCCGACAACACTGAGCGCTAAAGGTGAGGTTCTGAGGACATTGGGGTTAGCACCCCAGCATCTGCTGGTGAGCTTCCTGATGATATTATTCCTTGCTGAGACTTTACCTCTTGTCGCAGTGCAATGCGCCTTAAATGTCAGTGTGCGGTCCAGTATGACACCAAGATATTTGGATGTAGGACAATGCTGAAGACGGTCTCCCCGCCACCTCACATTCAACTCACGGCTTGCTTCTCTATTGTTTAGGTGAAAGGCACAAACTTGGGTCTTAGCAGGGTTCGGCTTGAGGTGATTTGCGTCATAGTACTGGGAAAGTTCATTTAGAGTCATAGTCAGCTTCTGTTCCACCTCTTCAAAACTACTACCTTGTGCCGCCACCGCCGTATCATCGGCATATATATACTGACGTGTAGCGTTTGGCAACGGTTGGTTGTTAGTGTAAATCTTATAAAGAGCTGGGGCTAAGACGCTACCCTGAGGCAATCCATTTCTTTGATTCCTCCATCTACTTTTCTTGCCTTGAAGGGACACGATAAACCGCCTGTTATGAAGAAAAGTGCCTATCATTGAAGTTGCACAGAAGGAACCTCCCCGAAGATTGTGACCATTCCACGCTATGAACGACATCACAATCGGGCGCACCCCGGGCAATGCTGACATGTCAGCGGAAAATCCTTCTACAACCGGACGACTTCGAAAAATGAGTCTGCTAAAATTACTTTACTAAAATCAAAATAAATTAATTTTGTAAACGACATCAATCTCAATTTTGTATATTGTAGCCTATGAGGACCTAATGATTGAACTGTATCTATAGAACAATCATCAATTATTATTGAGTTTGATTATACATATGATTTTATACCTTCAGTGATATTTTTAAATCTTGCTGAGTTAGTATAGAATTAATTAAACATACTTACTTTCTTGGATATTTCATAAATAAACAGTAGCTGCTAACAAAACTTGTATTGTTCAATCCAGACTGTCTTGTTTGTTGACTGTTTTGAAGATAATGAGTTGGCATTGCTTATCATTATGCACTCAAGCACAGACAATATAATACTTTAATTAATGCTCAAGAGTCAGAAAAGTAGTTTTTTTTATCAGTTAAATTAGGAAAATAACCATTTATAGTATCACAATTTTGAAAACTGGTAACAGTTGTGGTTGTAGTAAATTACTAGCTAAGTTAGACAAAATAAAAAGGTTTAAATTTTATTTGAAGATTCAATACTGCCTTAGTATAAACTTTAAAATATCGTTTTCCCTTTTTTGTTTAATTTGTCTACCAAAACAAACTAAGTAAATGATCCCATTTGTTTCCCTTGAATAAAATTTTAAAATCAGAGTAGCAAGAATACATGAACATAAGAAAATATGTTTTTGTTTGGTTAAGAAAGGCTGCTAAACTTGGACACACATTAGGATTAAATCAAAACAAAAACAGATGAGTAAGGATTATTTGCAAGGACAAACCATCTAACTTTTCTAAAGGTCATTTAGTCACTTCTTAAAACTAATTTGTGAGGACCTTCGTCTTATTTATTTACCAAAAATCCCAGTATCACTGAAACATTACAAGGAAAAAATATATTAGACTATTTTTTATGTCGTTTTATAGTATTTTATAGCTGTAAACAATAATAAAATGTATATTTATATTATTTAATTATGTATTTTATATGTATTTAGGATATGTTTACACAATTTTATATACTTCTAAAAAATTAGGCGCATACCTGTCTGAAAAAAATATTTGATTTTTTATGATGTTTTATAGTATTTTATAGCTGAACATAATAATAAAATGTATATATAATTATGTATTTTGTATGTATATTTATATGTATTTAGAATAAGCTTACACTATTTGTTATACCTCTCAAAAAATATCTTATGGAAAACCACTCTATTGGGTTCAGGGGGGCCAAATTTCCACCCCAAACTCAAACTCAAAAATTGTTAAAGTAAAAATTAAAACACCCATTTGATGATGATTCTTTTATTCTAATTTGATCAATATCCTCCATAACTTATTATTTTAATCTCAATATTCTACTAACAGGTATAGGTCTATACAATATGAAATATTCTTATCAAACAGAGTATACTTATGATTTTATCCGATCAAAGCTCGGTCCCCTGGTACTTCTTACCAAATCAACCAAGGAGTACATTTGTAAAGAAGTGCTTTTCAAACAAAAAATAACAGCTCATCATCTATATAAATAAAATTAGAGTTTTGTCTGTACATTGCTTAGAATAATGAACTTTTTGGTTATTTTTACATTTCATAGGTCAGAGAAACCGAATCAAACCTTATCTCAATTTCTGTCTGTCTGTCTGTCTGTCTGTCTGTCTGTCTATCTGTCATTCTCTTGGTAACGCTAAAATACGCACTTTATTACAACTACTCCTCAATAACTATAGCACTGTCCCGCCTGAAACTTATTTTCCAAATACTATACATATATGAGATGGTTTTAGACGTATTTCATCGAATATGAGACAGTTAGATATTTAACAGTAAACCCTTGAAAATCAAGTTTTTGTCGATTTTTGACGTGGAATTTCTGGAAGCCCATGTTAACCTTATGAGAAATGAAATTATTGAATCTTAACAGCTGTTTCAATTAAACAAGTTGGTTCTGTTCTGTGATGTTCAATAGCATTAAAGTTACAAGGATTACCAACAGGGTGCAGCACTAGCACTATTATTTCTTTTACATTTATGACAACAGCTAATTTGCAACCTGGAGGCGAGTGAGCGTAGCGAACGAGCTAACCTGAAGGCAAGTGAGCGTAGCGAACGAGCTAACCTGAAGGAAAGTGAGCGCAGCGAACGAGCTCCAACATACAGGTGAGTGAGCGTAGCGAACGAACTTCAACCAGGACGTGATTGAGCCATGCAAACGAGATCAGATAGTAAAAATAAAAGTAAGCCTACCGTTATAGGATCGACCGGCAGACACAGAGGTAATTTAACCTTTTATTGATTGTCATACCGATCCGGAACAACAAAAAACAACATAAAATGAAGCTATGTATAATAGTTTGGCCAGCATATCTTAAAATATGCAAACCAACTGCTGTTCGTTATATAAGAAGGTTTCAACTGAATATTATAAGATCCCCGTGCGTAGAACGGGTACACAGCTAGTTATCTATAAAAATGTTCTCCAGATCACAACAAATATTAATAATAGATTAAACTATAGAAATGGGGCGGTCGCTAAAAAAAAAATACTTTGATACAACTAGGCCAGAACATGATGTAAGAATTTTATTTGAGGGAGGCAAGTTTATAAAATATAAAAAAAACTTGTTTGTATGCTAATTCTATTTTTATAAACGGTCATAGTTATTTCCTCCAATTATTGAGGGAGCAACTGTCCATCTTTACACTTCTCCTCCTCCTCCTCAACCACCAAGGACTACATTAATGTAGGCCTATACTCGATTACTCAAATGATTGGTTTTCTGTTTTGATAATATTCACTGGCGTAGTCTCCAAGAGCAAAAGGTTCTTCTAAAGCAGTCTCAACGAGATACACACCTGAGCTTCTGAAACATATTTTAAGCCACACCATTTTATTGATACATATGTAACATCTATGAGCGCCTGCAGAATTTAGAACAGGGGGCTGCAACAGATAACAAATATTCGGAGGTCTGGGAACCCCTTGGAATTTGTTTTTAATATGGTGTTTTAAAACGAAGTTTTGAATTAACCATTATGTAATGTGCTTTTATAAATTGCTAATTAATGAAAGTAATTAGAGAACATTTTAGCTATTATATTTATTTCCTAATTTGTTAGCCAGGGTGCAAGTGCTGGTGTTTTTGGCATCTAGGGACAATCCATCCCGTGTCTCGGTCCTACCATGAGATCTAAGATAAAGCTTATATTCTCTATAGGGGTATTTTTTTAGAGATATATTATTCTAGAGATGTAATTGTACTGCTATAGCAATAGTTGATAAAAAAATATTTAAAAAACAAAGCGATGGATAGCTACTAATCCTGTTCATCTATCGTACACATGTTTACCTTATTTTGCCTGTATTTATATATCATTTAAAACATACATACCCGATAGGACAGTGTTCACCCATAGGAATCAGCGGTCTTTTGGGCTCACATGTATTCAGTGAAATGTCGAGATAGTCTTCGCACTTCCAACCCAGGAAACCAACTCTGCTATTGATTGACTCAGCGAAATATTTTGGCGCTCTGAAGTGATTACAGGATATGATGTCTAGAGAACAATATGCCCAAGTAAGATGTCTGCAGCAAACATGGATAACTCCTAACCCTAACTGCATCCATGTACAGGATTAGGCAAAACTATGGATAACCCCACCCCACTTAACCTTTCAGTGGGTAACACCAGGAAAACTTTTATGGTTTAAAAGTGCACATGTTGACAGTTTTCCTCTAGACTCCAAGGTGGGCCAAAAGTACACTCTTACTTACACCTTAAAACTCTTACTTAAAGAGTGCAGTTTCGTTTTTCTGGTACCAAATGAAAAGGTAAACAGAGCTTTTCACACATTAAACATTTTCTTCTTCCTGAGAGACCCGATCTAGCTGGTTCGTGAACTCATTCCTGTTTATCCATCTTTACAAATTAATGTCAAATTTTTCAAATTCGGGACAAATTTACTTATAAATAGGTATAAATAGGTAGGCTACATAAATAATAGGTACTAATCACATTAAATAGGTTACAGTTCCGGCACCTCATTTGTCGCAAATAGAGCTCTGCATATAAATATAAACAAGTTTGAATGAATAGTGTTTTGGCCTTTAGGAACATCAAAATGAAAATGTAAATCGGTCCTGGGTCTAGCTAAATCTTTCCTTGCTGCCTACGGAAATAGTTTCTTCCCCATAGAGAAATTCACTAAAGGAAATATTTTACAATCAATACAATTTTTTCCTTGCTCCTTGAACTACCTGCATCCCTTCCAAGTATACATCCAGGTTGAGCAGATCCTCCGTTGACATAGAAGTCTATGTGTCCGCAAGTCTCGATGTCGCCTAAACCACCACCATTTGTGTGGATCACATCCACAAACCTAGCATCGCTGGGATCTAGTCTTTCCTCCTCTTCCCGCAATGTGAAATCTGGTCCTGCGGGATCTAAACCTGTGGGATTGATACATGTAGTTAGTATTGTGCGGGATTATTTAACACCGAGAGCTGGTCTTATTATGGTATCACAAACACTAAATACGTACCTATTTATTGTCCTGATTTATTCATTATTGAAATTATTTTCTGTAATCTTTCTTACTTACGTCTTCTGGATCTGTTAAGGCTGTTTCCAGAGCAAAAATAAGATTTAGTCGACCACAGAAACCAAAATTTTGATTCAAGACTGGATGTTCCATAATGTTGCACCATTATTAAACTTTTTCACCAAATGAACTGAAAGTATCAACAACACGTGAAAAAATTTGTAGAATTAACACTTTTTAGGGAAAAAAATAACACTCTTTAAATGAATCAGCTTACTTCTCGTGATCAGCTTACTTGTCGTGATCATTGAACTTGTAATAGATCGTCATGGCTTAAGAATTTTTGCTGATGCCCAAACGCACCTGGTCTATCCCACAATCATATTTCATTCCATTAATTTGTCTTGTTTTTCTTCAGAAAATGGTTTTAAAGAAGTCTAACTACCTTTTGTTATACATTAGAGTATTATTATTCAGAAACAAGTAGGTTTTCAAGAATTATTGAATACTTTTTTCAAATTTAGCTCTTTACAAAAAAGTAACTTGAAAGTTTTTACCGTTTAACCAACCTGTTATTCTCGGTAGCTTATGTTTCCCCAGAGTGTTGGCCACATGATTACAGACTTGTCCTCCAAGACTGAAGCCGATAACGTGTATGTTGAAGGATCTGTGTCGTCGCAGCCCTGTCACCACGGGAGCCAAACACTTGCCTATGTGTTTTATGTTCGACACGGCCGACAAGTAGCACTCTACGCCTCCCACTAGCTTCGGGTAGTTTGCCATA